CCGCCCCGACTTATCCAGAGCCATTGAAAAACTTATCATTTAAAACATTCTTAGTGTTGGTAAAAGCAAACCAGTTGTTTGTAGTTTTTGCGGCTACTGAAAAAGGAGGCGAAGCCAGCTATGTTGTTAAGATGACTGTGAGATAACAACAGAATTCCGTTCTTGAACCTATAATCAAAGTTTGACACAATGTTTCATGATGTAACTTAATGTATTTCAAGTTATTTTTCGAATTATCTCAGTAGTTAAACATTCGCAGTCGATACACATTTGAGTTCTCTCGCTTTGTGATTTCTGGTTTGGAACTATTAGCGGACTATATTCAGTCCTTGACGTGACGCAAAGGAAGACAGCAGAAAGCGATTAAAATCTCACAATCATATCTCAATAGATGTGATCTGCACACCATGAAACTTTGAGAGATATAATAGAGAGAATTGTATTGTTTGAATCAGCGATTCATACCGAAATTTGCAAAGCGAGCAAGCTGCTAAATACGATATTTCGAGTTATTCAAAAGAATAATGGAACAGATAAATGATGGATCGGTGGAATGACGGAATACCTTAAGGCACGGAATGAGGGATTTTCAAAAATGCAGATCGCATTTTTGTACAAAATTAGAGAAATTTCAGTTTAAAAATAGAATGCAATAAAATCAGAAAATTATTTACAATAGCCCGTTTTACAGTTGTGCACTTAGTTGCCAAGCCTTTGATTCAGGCTGAAGGTGACCTTGTTGTGATAGAGACCTGTCTCTAGTTAGCATGATAACAAAGTGATTTACATTTGAATGGTAGCAAGGTTTTGTATCATAACAAGGTCACATCTAGCCTCACTCCCGTTGCAAAGGCTCGGCAACCAAGTACACAACTGTAAAATGGACTATTAACTGGCAAAATTAAGAGAAAGATAAATAATCATTGTTGGCACCCAGAGCCTAAAGGTAAATCATGAGCCTTTCGAACTAGCCACTTTAAATTATTTTTTTTATATTACTATTATTATCATTATCATTATTGTTAACATTATCATTTATTATCATTTAATTATTGGTTGTCGTCAATTAGACAATATATTCTTGAATCACCTTTCTCTTGTGGAACAGGGTGCTCATAATACTGCATGATGCGGTAGATTTTTCTGTTTTGAATGTGAAACAAAATCAATTCTGTAATACTACCTTCTGGCGTCATTATATAACCTCTTAATTGTTCTTTGCCATAAAAATTGTGCAATCCCAGTAGCCGTATGTAATCTTTAACTGTCTACTTTTCCTATGTGCTGTTGAATTCTATTGCATCTTAACGCATCATTTCCAGGTGTGATAATAGGTGGGATACTAGCGACGATAGCAACTTTTACCTTGGGTGCTTTTGTTGGTAGTGGTAAGTATAACCTTTTTTCAAAATAAAAGATACAAAGTTTATATCTTTTAAAATTCCTGTGTAAAAAATAAATTACACTGCGAGGAAAAGACGATGGTTCCCACAGGACTGATTTTTTTGAAAAAGTGAAATACAAATTTATTGGTTGAACAGTTTTCTGATATGTTTTAAATAGTTTCTTATACACTTTATTATAGTTTCTTCATCCACGGTTTGGAAGTTGGGATAAATGATGATAAATGAAATGGTTATCTTATTAATTTATAATAGCCTCTAATAGCTATCTCAATAAAAATAACTATTAGGAAGTATCAATTGATGTTTATCCCAACTTTTCGATAAAATCAGTCCTTTATGAGCCTCTACCACTCCTACTGTGTGGCGTGTTCTGTTTGAGAACACAAGATGAAATAGACTAATTGAACCATTACTTCATTCATGTACAAAAGTTCTTTCTCATACAAATTTTTAAATCTTTTTAAAAATTGGTCGATAAAAAGCTGTACACTGGGTAAAAATGATCAATATTTCTCCTCCCACCCCTCTTTTTTCTCCCTTTTTCTCTATGCACATCGATTTTTACACAGATACCAGTGACTGCTTAATTCTTATCGTTTGAAGAAAACGAAATAGTGAAATTTTTAACACAACTGCTGAAATGTCAGTCTTAATACGTCTAGAATATCATTTTTCCTTTTTTACAGGAAAAGTAAGGAGGACTTTTCCTGAAAGTCTCCTAAAATGTCACAACTGAACTATTTAGTAAGTCCGTAAATCTCAAAAAGATTCTCCAATCTTCTCGATCCCAACTTTTTTTTTTTGGTGTGATTTCTTTTGCAGAGATAGGGACGCAAAATAGTCACCGTGGAAATAGCTCTCAGAATCGACGAAGATCAGGTATTGATATGTTGAGGGAAGCAAGAAAAAATTTTTCAGTAAGGTCCTTTAGAAAAGTGCGATGACAGTAGCCTCTTTGACGCTGTTAAACCGGTAGGATCTAACAGTGTGTTATTTAGATGTAAAGAAAACGTTTTAACCTTGAACCTTCTTGGAAAGTTTACTCATAGTCCAGTGCAACGTATGAGCGAGATAAACAAGGTGTTCATGCAACAAAATTGCAATGGCCACTGTTTGGTTTTTTGTTGTTTTCTTTTGCAGACACGGGGACACGAAATAGTGGAAACAGCTCTCAGAATCAAAGTGATTCAGGTATTGATAAGTTGAGGGAAACAGGATATTAACTTTCGAAAGAAAAAAGGTGCATTTAAAAGAACACAAATGCCTTTTTAACATTGTAAGACCGGTAGGTTTTATCGGTGTTCTACGTGTCTAGATGTTAACAAAATTTTCGATCTTCAACGTTTTTGAAAGTTTGCCATTCCTGACTGCAATGTACGAGCAAGATAAACAAGATTTTTATGCAACAGCAATACTCAAGTATTAACAGTGAACTGTGTTTGCATAGTGGGACAAAAGGAGTCTGTAATTTTGTCACAGACAAGACTGATGAGGTTTACTTGGTCAGAAGCAGATAGTACTTATTCAGTTCTTGGTCATGTTTTTATCAGACTAATCTGAAAGAGAGGAAAAAAATAAACCTGCTTTAGAAAATCTTACACCAAATAGAAGTTCAAACTCAACAGGTACATTTATCTTAATGCATACCCTGCACCTCATTCCCTCTTAAACATCCATATTGCTTCTAATACAAGTAACCTCTAGTTTCATAGTGATTCTAACGTTATCAGCGCCATTATGCAATCCATAATTTAATATTAATTTGCTTCATTCTTTGGCCCCTTTTTCGAACATAAACCATAAAACAACTACATCCATGCGTAGCACTTCAGCAAAACTTTTTACAAGTCAATACAATCATTTTTGCAGGAAATAGAGGAGCAACATCACCACCAGAAGGTAATGGCATTCGTCGTCGTCCACCTAACACAGGTAGTTTAATGTACAATATATATAATTTAGTGACCAAGCGTGAGTTGGGATATTGTCGGAGTTATTGTTTTGCGTTTTTGTGGACCGAGACGAAGTCTCCTTGTCAATAAAGTCCTCATGGCATGCAATTCCGATACAATCAAACTGACTCCATTCTTCTACCGCAGTTGACGAATCAACTCACCGAAAGTCAAATCGTGCGTTTAAATACTAGAAGTCGGGGGCATGAGTGAATAGGAAAATGACGAAGAAGGGCGGTATATTCAGATTTCCGGTATCACGAGAACCGCGAGTTGACTTCGGGTAGGTTGCTTCACAAACGACAGAAAACGAATCGACTCAATTTGGGTGTATTAAATAACCTTGAATTACTCAAATGCGAGTCTTACTAGCATCTTGAATAAATTTTTTTTGTTTTACGGGCAAATTCTTCCATAAAGAGAGACTTAGCCTGCAATTTTTCTAAACTGTTATAACTGAACTCCTTAGTAAGTCCACGTATCTAAAAAAGTTTGTCCAATCTTCTCGATCGCAACTTTTTGTTTTTTCCCTTGTTTTCTTTTGTGCATTTAACAAAACTATGACAATAGCCTCTTTGACGTTGTAATCAAATTTTCTTTCATTAAGCCAAAGTCCGATCACATGATTACAAACTGTCTTCGGAGCACATTGAGGATAGTGCCATGAAAAAATTTCACCAGGAATTTCTCTCTCCAGGGTTGAATATGGAAAAGGTTATCCCACTGAATCATGGCTTTGTATCAAAATAAAATTTATGATGCTGATGCTGGGTCCCTGTGTCATGGGCTTTGGTTCTAATTTTATGTGATCATATTTTCAATCAGATGTGACATCTATTTACATATTGTGCACCATAAATTTATGAAGAAATCGCAAATTTGGGGGTTTTATAAGTGAAATGTTGAGCACTAAATTTGAAAATGGATCTTAGTCTGTTAATCGATCGAGAAATTCATTCTGAGATTAAATATTTATCAGCAAACAATTTCATTTAAACCTTTTAAAAAACAGCAACTTCAACCCCTAACTGGAATGGTGGAAGTTTTCAGTTCCAAGAGAATGGTTCCTCAACCCTTTACTGGAATGGTGGGTCAACATCTTACGGTTGGCAATTCCAAGAGGAAGGTTCCCCAAGCCATTTGTGGAATGATTTCGGCCCATCGGACAATGCTGCTTTAGAAGAACTATATTGTGATGTGGAAAATTCGGAAGTAGAAGTATACCTGAAAGACACCGCATCGAGGTAGGAGGGCATGTAGAGAGATCAGTGTGGTAACAAACTCAGCTGAGCTAATTTTTGAGAGCGATGTTTGTGGTGCCCATCAGAATACTTCATTCATAAGGGCAATGCACCACTCTACCCGACTCAGTTCGAAAACTTTTTATAGAACAGGAGACTTGTAAAAAAAATGCTTGCGTAATGGCCACTGAGCTCCGCAACAAAGTTAATCGAAGCGATTGGCAAAATTCTGATACGTATCGTTTTGTTTTGGTTTGCTTGTTGTTTTTTATTCATCGTAAAACTTTAAATTATTCAAAATTGGGTGAAATGATAGTCATCTGCTGAAACATGTTTACACCTCGGGGTGTCCGTGGCCGTATGTCATGGCAGTCATGGCCAATGGGCATGAGTTGCAAAGTCTGCTGACATATCATTAACTTTTCTTTATTTCCAGACATAAGAAATTGTTCTCAGAAGGAGTATCGGTTGACTTCGAGCAGATGATGATGATTTCGCATTCTTCCAAGCAGTTCTTCCTCCACCGTCACTCAGAACCATCCTATGTACAGGTCCCAGACAGCAGTTCTTCCACACGGTGGGTGTGGTATTGGGAAGATAATGATGGATGGAAGAAATATAGTGAAACCAAAGTGAGTGGATATTTTTCGTGCCTGAAGATCAAAAGAGGATAAATTTTATCACATCTTGCTAGAGATACAATAAGCCCTTGGGGTCAAAGCTGGCTTAAAACGTCATCGTGGTACAAAAGGGGAAAGATAAATTTGCCCCTTGCTAAAATATTTCAATATTTCCAATTTTACAAAGATCCTGTAATGTAATTAAGAAGTTGAGTTTAAAATTACGAGTCTTGCATATTAGATACTAAGCTGTGAGATCATTAACGATGGACTTTTTTTTGTTCTCTAGATTTTAACTATCTACCTATTTGATTGGTCGCCTGTTTGTTTTTTTTCATTGTCTCAAATATAAACGAGATTTTTATGCCTTTCAAAACCATAAGTTTCAAATCAAAAGTATTTCTCTTAATAAGGGTAACTGATTTCAAAACTAAAATTTGGATTTTTAATTTTTTTTCTTTTTAATTTGGCTAAACACTGGACTTTAACATAGTTAGAAATCGTGCGTTGAATATTTTGTGTTTTAGGAGTCGTCCGTGATAAAACAAGAGGAGATAGAGGTTGCGTTTCTCGATGGAGCGGCAATTTACCCTTTTCAAATTGGCTTGTACAAATACGTGATTACATTCGACGATAAACCGATGTGTCAAATAAACATGAAATATGGAACCATACGACGAGTAAGAAGGAGACCATTGTTCACAGATAGGTGGGTGACAGCCATTGAGTTTATAGAAAACCCTGTTGGAGGAAAAATATCATAATTGATGATTGTATCGAAAACTGCCAAAAGAGGTGTCATCTTAGGTTAAATGAGAACGCCCTTGCTAGGATAACATCTATTCAACGGCGTTGCAGAAAGTTCAAAAACACATTTAAGTTAAAAAAATTGATTACAACTATAAAAGAAAGCAATACACTGTATCTTACACTACAATACAAAGATAGGTGAGAAGTGACTATTGATAGTTTCTTGTAGAGCAAAAGAGAAAATTAGTATAAAAGTACAAATAAATTGTGGATACTAATTACAAACTAAGCCAGAAGCATTTTAATTCACATTAATGTTTTTATCCCTTAGGCGATTCTCAATGTTTAATTCGTGTCCAAATTTAAAAAATAACCTCGCCAATGTCACTTACTTTAAAAAAACAACTTCTGGTACTGTAAATATATTTTGCTTGTAAAAAAGAGTAATTAAAAACGCGCTCATTACGCTTAAAGGTGTTACTGGTTTACACGCCCAGTTTCATCCCAGGGGTTTGGTCCTCCTTTGCCTCCATGATCCTAGGCAAACAGCTTTGGTTTTACCCAAATTTAGTGATTCCAGATATTTTTTCAAAAGCTGAAGAATTTCAATAGCGTTAAAAAACTGAGATTATGTTTTTTAGAAATGGAGACGTGTCATCTGCAAACTGGCTTATCTCGTGCTCCGATCCGTGTTGCATATTAAAATACTTTCAATGTTCTTTTAATTTCGTGCCTTACCTTTGCTGCTAGCACCTCCAATCCCATACCGTACATACAGACATACATACAAACAGACACCTACATGCATACATTAACTAATTTAAACACGAATTTGAGTGTAGTTACAAAAGTTAATATCTTCGTTTTAAATATAATAAGATATAATGAAAAACAAATTCTAAAAATAATGTGAAATTTATATGCCTATCGAACGATACATGAAGAAAATATAAAATACAATACAATTAAATACGATGTAATTTATGATTGTTGTAAAAGTGCATGTTTGTGATATAAAATAGTAGGGATATAAAGGATAGCTTTGTCCAACACCTTTTGAAAATTTAATGTATTATTTCGTAATATTTTTTCTCTCTTTTTTCCAACTGCTAGGGATTTCGCCCGGAATTTGGCACCAGGGGGAAATCTGGATCGAAAACGGTTTTCGTAAAGTGGTACTTCGTACATCTTTCTCTTTAATAATGTTTTTCCTTTATTTTATTGGATAAGAGCTGTGTTCGTCTATTCGCCTTAAACGTGGCCAGTTCAAGGTAATCAAAGGCAGATTATATTTCTGGTATCAGGGTTAGAAGATTTTGGTTTAGAACCGCTAGGTATAAAAGTTTTAACAAGGTCAGAGGCAAAGAAAAACATCCCAGGACAAGAAAGTCCTAAATACTGACTTTGGTCCCCGAATAAGAGAGCTGTTATTACACACGCGAAAAGCGAGATGGAGGGTCAATCGTGAACAGGCTAGTGCGGAAATGAAAGCGTCGTTTTTGGAAACTTACTGGTTTCGACTTTTTTCCATTAAACTTACAAAATGTGGAGGTTTTTTTCGGAAAACGATATCCCATTCCTATGTATTTGAAGTCTCATGTCATTTACAAATTAACATGCTCAGCTGGTAATGCTGATTAAAAAGACAAGACTTATAGATGTCTTCGAGTGCAATTGGATGAACACAGCTCTGACCTTAATTAGGACATGTTTTTAACTTTTTTCATAAAAATGTTTTCAATTTTTGTCATTAAAAATGTTTTTAACTTTTTTTTATACTTCGTCCTGCATTCTTGTTTTTAATTCCTTGCTGGTTCCTTTATTGTAAGGTGGAAGGATGTTAAATTCTTCACACTCGTTAGCTTGTTATATATTTTCACTCCCAAATATATATATGGGAAGTCTGCGTTTCGATTTCGTATAACATTGCTCAATACATTAAAGTAGAGCGCAATATTTGTTGAGTAGAAAAATACGACGACTACGTTTTTATCCCTACAAACCTGTTTCGAGTCATCGGATTTTTAAAAACGTATTTTCGTACTTTTCTACTCAACATACAAATATATAAACATAAAAAGCCGAATGATGAGTGGGCAACCACGAAACAGGCTTGTAGGGATGAACCTTTGGGTTTATTTGTCATTTCCCTCCCACAATATATGTTTATATATCTATATACATTTGATAGCTCACGTGATAGCTCACTCATATCGGCCCAAAAGGCCGAAACAGTACTGTCTGCAGTTATGAGTGAGATATCACGAAACAGGCTTGCAGGGATGAAAGCGTAGTCTTTGCATTTTTCTAAATCAGGTGGCGCTTTTGAAGTGACAATTAAATGAAATTTTTTCCTCCCTTAAAACCTTTTGCTATTACTCAGGACTTCCTGTGGGGACCCTACATTAGAGAGCGAAATGGACACAACACCACTCGATTCTTATATTCCAAGCCACTGGTCCTTTATGCCCTCCAGTACACAACATAAACGTTTTTCGTTGGTAAAATGGTCGAATGAGTTCAAAGAGGTGGAACAACTGTTCAGAAAATCGATGAAGAACCACATAGTGATCAAAAAAATTGACCGTGTGCAGAACCCGTTCATGTGGGAAACATATTGCAGGTAACCAAGAGATTATATATCTCTTGAGGTAACTTATAACCCAAGAAATACACATTACCCAATAACCCACCCGCCCCCTTCCCCCTACCCCCTCCCTTTCTAAAGTGCCAACATTGGATAAAATTCATTGGATCAGGCCGATCGCTATCTGGCTATGAAGACTAAAACGATCGCAAGTCGGAGTGCGCGATCATGTGGTGCCTCACGTGAATCCATAACTTAACACGTGTGGCCGTCAATTCATACAATACATAAATTGATTTCTCTTGTAGGAACAAAGAAAACAAGACAAAAATAGCTAATGGTGATCAGCTCAAGGTCAATGAAAAACGATTGTTTCACGGAACCAGTCCAGACGCCGTGGAGGCCATCTGCAAAGAGAATTTCGATTGGCGTCTAAACGGCAAGAACGGGAACTTATACGGTGATGGATGCTACTTTGCAGTGGAAGCATCTTACAGCCACAGATATGCAAAAGAGGACGCCAGTAAGTCGCGAATCATGTTCTTGGCCAAAGTTCTTGTAGGTTCGTACATAGAGGGTAACTCCAGCTTTCGAAGACCACCGCCGAAACAACCGTCAGCGAATCAAGTCAGTGACCTCTACGACTCCTGTGTGGATGATGTGTCAAATCCAAAGATCTTTGTCGTCTTCGACAAAAATCAGTTCTACCCAGAGTACGTCATCCAGTATCGCACTTCTTAGTCAGTGACGTGCAAAATTCCCTACCTCACGGAGAACAAACTCTTAAAGGACTAAAAATACTTAGTGCACAACAGACTCGGTACACTGTCTGAGGATCATGTAAGTAAGTTAAGAATAAGTCGGAATACAGTTGTTGAAGGCGAAGAATAGCATAGGAATTTTTTATGCGTATCGATAGCTTTTCTGTCTGCTTAGATGGTACGATTTTTCCAAGGAAGCGTGGATTTGGTAATATTAGAAAGATTTATTTCCGCGTTTACGTGAAACGTGAACGGCAAGAGTGACTACATGACCTTGTTTTTCCCGCCATTTTTTCACGTTTGCCGGTTGCGCTTTGCCGTTTCTATATGAAAGTAACCTGTTTCGCGTTTTCCGGGTACTTAAGATTTTCCCCATTTTTTTTTCTGTCACAGAGAAGTTAATTGCCAGAAAAAGGGCACCAAAACTATTACTTTTAAGTCTCACAGGGGCATCTTTAAATCCACCGGGACGTGAGCTCACGCGAAGCTAAAGCAACAAGGTTCACGCTATTTTGCGTGAAACGTGAAAGGGCAAGCTGCCTTTTGCCATTTCGCCTAAACACAGTGCTAAATCCCTCTATTATTGATATGCTTACGAGAATGAGTACGTAAGCGTTGTATTTCGCCCAAAAATTGTATTTTTCATTGTTTTCCGGCTGTGAAACATATTTTTCACCATCAAGCTCGTTTTAAAAAACTTTAAAGGAAGGAAACACTGGTTTTCATAAAAATTTTTAGGTACTGTAAGACGTATAGCGTTTCATACTTTTATTACACTGTTTCGACGAGACGAAATTGTGTTTTAAACGAAAAAAAGCGAATCCACAACCACAGAAAAACTCATAAGTCCGACATCTGCGAGCGCTTAACAAAACAAAAAAAAATATATATATATTACCCTATTTCTCTCACGACCTATTTGAATATATTTAGTAAAATTAAAATAAAAGCCTGCGGCATTGTTCGGCCTTGCCAACGGACAGCGCCACGCCAATCAACAGGCGTTCGTCGGAACAACACGACTCGGGCAGTCAGAGGGCCATTAACTAAAATCAACCAATCAAAATGCTCTATTGCCGGTCCAATATTCGCTAAGTCTTGGACCGGGCACTGTCCCAAGTGGTCCCGAATGATACCGCACTTGTGTCCCTTTGAACTTCAGTAGTATAATAAATCTCTTATTAACCAAGCTTGCTCGGGACCGTAGTGGAAGAATATCAGCCCTCGGTCTTTTTTGTACGGACCTCGCTCGGTCAAGACCTCGGGCCGATATTCTCCCAGTACGGCCCTCGCGCTTGGTTGATAAGATATATTGATAGTTTGAAAGAAGAGGCTTAGCTTTGCATTAACAGCGTGTCATTAACGTCAAATACATCATGTGATTTGGCTATTGTGGGATCCTAGTTACTGCTGAAACTTCATAGTTAAACAACATACATATTACTAGTATTTTTAGCCTTTGCTTTTGTATTCTTGGAACACTGTGTAGCTAGTAATAATAAAACTACTATACTGTTGTTTGTTGGTTGTTACACCTACTTGGGCTTTTCTTGAACTCGGCCTCGTTAACGTCAAAATGCAGTCGGCTTCGTATCATGTGTGAATCTGGTTATTCAACGAGTGATCTTGTGAGCATTTGATGGACCAAAAATTTACCCTACACTCTAAAATATCTCCGCAAAAGAAAATTTGCTAAGTAACATGTTACTTCTTCATGTTCGTCTGGAAGCGAAAAAAAAAGCGAAAATAATTTCATTAAAAAATTAAACGGTTCAACGCATTAAACTGATGTTGGCATGAGTCATACCGAAACGTGCTTTTGAAAAGTTTCCTCGTGAATTTGAAATTTATCTTTATTATATTATTATCGCCAAGCTACTGGAATATTCTATAGGAGAATCATGTTATGAGGATGAATGAATGATTCACGACTACCAATTTTACTGGTTCTTGCTTTATGTTCCCGGCCGAAAACCTTTCGTGAAGGTCAACTTTTTCTCTGGTAGATTGAATTCAAATTCAAAGACTGGCAGCCTGCTGGTCAAGTGAAAATTTTGGCCTGCCTCAAGTATAAGGATAATGGTAGAAAGTTCTTTTCGCCTACATTTTCCCGCGCGAGTAATGAACAAAATAATTCGTGCGATGGAGGTCCACTTAACCGATGTCCGAAGTTGTGTTAATTAGCTGAAAGACAATCTCTTTACGAAGAAAATGGTAGCTTTTCGCCTTAAAAAGCTCCCGATGACTTGTGCATTACACTTCAAATCGAGTTACAAGTGAGAAATTAAAGTTTCTTCGCAGGTCAGGTGAACCCTGCGCTCTTCTTGTCTGAATATAGTTCGAAAGAGTGTATGTCATTCACTAGTGAGGACTGAATTTTCACTTCAAAATTATAAGTAAGATCAAGTTAGAGTTTTCATGAAAATTTACCGATTATTTAGAAAGGAAGGGATTTTTAGAGAGCAAATATTTGGAATTTAGATTCAACGAGAATTTTTCGGAATTATCGTGTTTAGGCCTAACAGAGTTTGTGATTCATATGACTCTGTGGGAGAAACTCTAGCCTCGTTCATAGGTCATTATTTGCATTTTACCCTTTGGAACGATTGAAAGTTGAAAGAATGGTAAATACAATAAGTAAATCGTTACTTTGAACAAAGAAAGGGTGGACATATGATGACTTCTCAAAGCAGGTTTGGAAGGATGAAAGACGCAACTTTGGATTTGTGGAATAACTGCTGTCGAAATGTTTCCCAAACCGTCCGGCCGACCTGGGATGCGCTACGTGAAAAGACTTTAGCCACTAAAGTGCAAATCAAGATACATTTTAAAGCACTACACAGCGCCTGTGTTGAACAAAAGAAGTTCCTTCAAGACAAACTAGATGCCTTGAGTGACCATTCTTCCTCTGGCCAGGCGATTGTGACGGTAGTAACACTTCACGCCATTGTACCACTTCAGGCCATTGTACTGGATGATTGTTAAATTCTCTGTTTATCTTCTGTACCTGGTTTTAATGCTCATCATCCGATTTATGAGTATGGTCTTAATGAGTATCGGTGTTATGGCGACCTGATGAATTTCGTCTTTGGCGTGATCTTAGCCCTAACTTTGCGCGATTGGTTTATGGAAGGTGTATATCGCAACTGAACTACATCACGGCGAAGATAGTACGCGACTTATTATTGATATTAATGTTTTGCCATCGATGGGATTCAAGAAAGCGGCATACGATCGCTCTCAAGACAACAGAAATTTATTAATAATGAAAATAATAACAACAGCAATAGTAGCAATAGCAACAAATGAACACAGTGAAAAACTTGATCAAAGATTCGTGACTTTAGCGTGACCGATAAACGATTGTGACCGTACTGTTATTTTGGTCACAACATGTCATCTTTGAAGTACACTGCAAAGTCAAGTTTAACTTTATTTTTAGGCTATCGAATTAAAGCCGTAAAAAAAAAAAAAAAGAGGAAATCAGAACAGAATGTAATGCGAATGAAAAATTCGATCGTCGCAAAAAAAAAAAAACCGAAAAAAAGAAAAGCCAGTACACCCAAATCAGGAAATTTTACGAATAAGGTAACGAGCTGATCTACGATGGCTTCTGATGGTAGGCTTGCGAGTATGAAAAAGGCCATTTGGAAAGTATGGAATAGCTACTGTGGAAATGTTTAGCAAACCATCCAACCGACTTAGGACTCGCTACGTGAAAAGGCTTGGGCCTACATCTCAGGTTATTACATACCACTTTTGTTGAACAAAAGAAGTTCATTCAAGACAAACTAGATACCTTCAGTGGCCATTCTTCCGCTGACCGAGCGATTCTAACAGCAGTACTAGTGGTGGCTATTCTGTTTCTAATCACAGTCGCAACTGAATCTGCGCATCACTTACGGTCATTGTAAAGCAAGATTGTTGGATGGTCTGTTTACCTTCCGTTTCTGGCTTTAATGCTCATCATCCGATTTATGAGCATGGCCTGACGTGCAATTTTCCTTTTTTCTCATGGTTCATATTCCTAGGGGAATTAATTAATTAGCCCCGGGCCCACATGCTGTGCCTGGCTTGATGTTGACAGACATTTAGTTGACACTCGATCGCGCGATTTGTTCTTTTGTTCGTTGTAGTTATTGCTTTGAGAGTCTCCTTTTTTAAAGCGATTTTGGCTTCTGCCGCCGGAAAATGCACGAAGAAGCCTCCATCCTTACCACAAGGCTTTCTTTGCGACCTTCCAGCCGTCTAACGCCCGCCTCTCAGCGCTGCAACAAGAAGGACACGCCATTACGCGGATCGCCAATATCAACCGCCCCACACCACAATCAAGATATGGATTTTGCTAAGCTCCAGATAGAAAAACAACACCTAGAAATTCAATTGATGGAACTGGATGCTAAAGCCAAGGTGCGTTCTCTTTCATCCCCTACCAATTCCAAACCTGCATCAATTCCTTCGCTGGACATTGTTCATTCCGAAAACAATGCTGGTAAATCACAAAGTCAACTCGACCACAATACACGCATTCTTAATCCACAAGAATGGCCTCATCTACGCGCTCATTTCAGCCTTTACCGTAAAAATTTAAGGATCTCTCGACTGCTAAATTCATTTATGGCTTCCTGGACATCATAACTTCCGAAACACCCGAAAAATAAGCATTCCTGACACAACATCTGATGTCTTTAATGCGACTCGCGTCCAAGTATTACCGGAACGCCGTCCTTTCCTTTCATACCGCCGTGCTAGATCCTATCGAAGCCGGTCTCGCCGTCTGGGGTGCTGATTTCAGCGAGATAGAGCGATTCAACATTACCGAGTCACAGCGACTAACCAACGCTCAACCCCCCACGGACAACACACACTCTCACCCCGCAGCGGGCCTCGACAACCGGCCACGAAATTATTGCTGCGAATGGAATCGCACCGGATCTTGCAACAACCCCACCCACCAGCCGGGAGCAGAACACATCTGCTCACGTTGTAAACTTGCCGATCACACCATTGCCACTTGCCCAACTCGCCCACCATCCTCTTTGATTCGTTCACCACCGTCCGCGCCGCCGCCCAATTCAGACAATTCGAACATCCGAGCTCACTCGTTTTTGGCTTCATTTTCAACGTGCCACGAAATCTGACTTACAATCCCTTCTCGGAAAACTTTCTCACATCTGCGCTTGCATTAGCCCGGGAAGAATCTTGACGCAGCGCCTCCTTCACCAACTTCGTAAACTCCCCGACAAACCTCGTCACTTTCCGCCGAGCCCAGAACTTCTCACCGATTTGGGCTGATGGCAACATTTCCTCTCGGCATACAACGGCGTCTCCTTGTTTCACTCATTCCCTTGGATTGACGAAATTTCTCGTTTTTGCACCGACGCAAGCCTTACTGGCATTGGTGGCTTTTTCGATGGTCGTTTCTTCCACTCCACCTTCCCGCCGTTTATTGATGTAGGCTCTCTCTCAATCGCTCCGCTCAAAATGCTGGCTGTAATTGTCAGCTTCAAACTGTGGTCACAGGAACTACAATCGGACCACCGAACTCGCTATTAACACTAGCCGTTCTCGCCTTCCATTCATTCAGTCCTGCTTACGTGAACTGTGGTTCTACGCTTCCCTTTTTGACTTCGAGCGACACGCCCTCCACATCCCAGGTCACCAGAACACGCTGCTAATTCTCCAATCCGTTGGGACACTAATCCCCAATTTGCCCACATCTTCTGTGAGGGAGCATCCTTTCATTACCCTACTTTGACAGAATATTCATGCTTCTTTGATTCGTTCCGCTTCGACCGCCAGTGGTAATTACCTCCTGACTTCGTCTTTCAGGTTTCCAACCGCGTGTTTTACAGCATCATATCCGACAAATTCAAGCCTTCACTTTGTCAGCCGCCACCAAGCGGAACTACCAACTCATTAAGAACACCCACCTCAAGTTCTGCTATTTCTACCGTCTTCCACCGTTTCCTGCCGCTCCGGATGCAATCGCCGCCTTCGTCACCCTGGTCAGCTTTTCCGTAAAATCTCATCATACCATTCACAATTACCTGAGCGCCTTACGACGGCTACACGTTTTTTGTCATTTCGACACGCAGACCTTCGACGAAATTCACGTCAAACAGACTGTAAAAGGTTTGGAAAAGTCTATGATCCACATCCCTCTTGGCAAAGCTCCCCTCACACCTACCTGTCCTACTCCAATTCCACGTCCATCTCGACCTTCAGGACTCCGCTCACCTAGCCTTTTGGGTCTGCCTGTCCGGTTGGCTTCTTCACATTCTTTCGCACAGCAAATTTGGTTCCTCCTTCACTTGATACCATCTCACACAACACACTTTCTAGAAGCAGCATCATATTCCACAGTTCCGGCACCCTGAGTACCATTACAAGAACAAAAACTCGCCCAGCCGGTGATATCACCCTTGTTGTTCCCATTCCGCGCATTCCTGGATCCGCGCATTCCTGGATCCCCACTTTGCCCCACATTTGCACTCCACTCCATACTATGGACCGTTCCTGCGCCCGACACTCATCCTCTCTTTTCCTTTCCTTCCACCACGAACCAGCTTGCCTGCATCACTTCCAGCCTTAACGGCGGTATTATTTCAGTGTGGAATCCCAGCTGAACTTATCAAACTCTAAGGAAATTGGAGAGCGGACGGTTATTTATTGTATTTATCCTTGCCTTTGGCAGACCGCCTTGTGCTCTCGAACATGATATCCGAGCACGTCCAACTTTTGTAACAAGGTCTAGTTACCGCGCCTTATTTTATTATAATCCTTTACTTAAATTCCCGTTTCATTTCTAGCACCTTCTCCTCTCTCCTCGCACCTCTCTTCCTTCTACAGCGAATCTTGTTTGGGCCTCTTTCACTTTGCTTGGAGGCTTTCCTCCAGCCCTCAAGTGCTCCTCGTTTCCTCATTAATGATGGCCAAACAGATTTGCTGTCTCTGTATGGACAATAAGTACACATGTTAGATATTGAAAAGCTGGCTTTAACACAACTACTGGATATTAATACAAACATAATACTCGTGTTAAATACAAAAAAATACGCCACGAAGTTCCTGAATGTAGTGCTCAATTAATTCTAAGGGTGTTTTAGTTCAACTTAAAACTCTCTCGTCAAAATAATGATATCCTCTTTATTCCATGAAAATATTTTCTTCAGACTGACACCTAATGCCTTAACTCAATCAAGGTTCTAACCTTTTGAGTATGAAAAATATCGAGGCAAGTCACATTTTGAAATCCAAGAAATCAAGCCACGACAGTAATACCTAGAACTCGATTTGTGTCGATTTGTGTCGCTTTATTATTCTGTATACTTTCTCTAAGAACGTTCACGTCTCAATGACTTCAACACCACAGAAGGGATTTCTCGGAACCAAATCATGACGAGAAACTTTTGTTCCTCTCTTTCTTTTATTCATACCTTTGTTGCACCCAGAATGCCCTGCGTTGTGTTATCTCGTATTACAGAATGGCAGATATTAGATCTGAGCCCGCACTTCAGCGGTTTTGTTTAAAGACGCACGGAATCGAGGCTCTTGGGTCAAGGGATTTGTAAATTTTCTTAAAGGTATTACTGTAAATTCCAAAAGGCGAAGCATAGCTCTTTCTATGGGCAAAGATAGCAATGGTTAGACATTGTGTTGCATTCGGATGCAACAACCGGAGCGATAAACCACATTGCAAGCATCTTTCGTGGCATTCACTGCCACTGAACAACAAGAAACTTCTGGCGACTTAGCTAGTTAAGATCAAACGGGAAAACACACCCATAAGTAAAAATTCATTTTTATGCAGTGAACATTTTGAAAAGGAATGCTTTTGCAAGTCATTTGCTGGCCGGAAAGTAAGTCTTAAGTCAGAATCAATTCCGACAATATTCAGTTTCTCCGAACAGAAAACCAAAAGGAAGGCTCCGAAGGAAAGACTCTCGATTGATGATGAAGTACGTCAAAATATTATTAAACATCAGGAATCCTCAGCTAGTAATAATGAAGGAGAAATTTTGATAGAAGATGCAAATGAAATTCCGTTAAATAACAGCAACGAAATGGCGACTGATCATGATGGCGATATGGACTTACGTGATCTACAACAACAACTGAAAGACCTACAGCAAGAGATGAAAATGAAAGTCGAGGCGCTTGAAAGCCAGCTCAAAGAAGAG